TATTCGGATATTCGTTGTTTGTTTTTTTGTTTTTTTCCCGTTTTTTTTCCAAATAGAATTGATTGAAATCTCCAATATCAACGTAAGAGCTTGTGCCTCTTTGGGGGGTGCTAACACTTAACCATAAACGTTATTGTTTACTTTCTCCGTCTTTATATGTAGATATTACTTTTCTCCGTTAATCTTCGTCACGTTGTTTCCATAGCAACAACAACTTCCTGTCAACAGCGCTAACTCTCCTTCAAAATCAAAGCATGTCCATAAAAAATAGGAAGCCAAGCCAAATTACACTTAAGACATATACAACTGCAACGAAAGTAACAAACACAATGCAATATCCTTTTCAATTTCAAAGAACACAAATTGGGTTGTATACATTAACAAATAACTATAAAACAACAATACTGAATATTCGAATATTCGCTGCTGATTACTACCGAATATCCGGAGCCCGAAAAATGGTATTCGGGACAGCCCTATGTCACTATGTTCTGGAAGTAAACAAAGGAGACGTTTCAGGCAGGAGGGGGAGTGTGTGGGAGAGAAACTCTGCAGACAATTACCATGCCCAAAAACCTATATAACGCACGACAAGAAGGGGAAAACCACACAAAATTTGGACTATAAAAGCTGACAAAACTAACCAAGATGGCCGAGTGGTTAAGGCGTTGGACTTAAGTTCCAATGGGCATCAGCGCTTGTGGGTTCGAACCACACTCCTGGTAAATTAAAGTGTTATTGAAGTTAATTAGGGCAGATTGCATAATGGCAACAGAGGTAGTAGATAAGCAACACTAGTTGGATTTCTTAAGGAAATTCTCAGCAAATTAGCTTAATTCCCTTTCTACAGGAGAAGTTTGTCACACCACACCAGAATGGATTCATCCCACTCCTGGTACAGTAATGACTTGTCGAGTGTAATTGCTAGGCTCCTTGTGTGTTTGAACTCTAGTTGTCATGTTAATGGGGTGTTTGCATTAGCTAATAACACCCTTTGCTGCTGGCAACAATAACAGAGTAATAACCTGTTCTGAAGTATGGCAGAGAGTCCATTTGCCAACTGATTGCACAGTGCAATATATCTGAGCGGTATTGCAGCAAGAGAGCATAAGGATAATGTTCTATCTCTTTTTACTGGATAACAGGCCTTTTGTGGGTGATTGTCAGTGAGCAGTTAGATCTGTGCAATGACTGTATAATAATCTAATTAATGCAAAAACAGGGAGGCATTTAATTAAAACCACTCAAGCAAATTCTCCTTATCTTGCAAGGATGTGTGGTTAGTTCAATATTAATGTGTATGTTAGTGTGAACAATCAAAATTACTGCAAATGTGTGTCTGTTTTTCTGTGTGTTTGTGTGTGTGTGGGTGTATGTATGTGTTGCACCCGAGGGAAGGGCTGTAATTGTCTCATAATTGTGCTGCTATTTGGCGTGTCACCCAAACAGAAAACCGATTTGTTCTACACTACCTCCCTCATCTCTCTCTTTTTCTGCTCCTTATGTTGGAGCTATCTCAGCAGTCTTATATTCTCGCTGATGAGACATATATTCATACTATAATTTATCATCATTGAGATTAACACTGTTTAGTCAAATATGCTGCTCTTATTATCCTAAATAAACGTACCTTTGACCTTCCTTTGCATTTCATGTAACTGATTGGTTTGAGGGTTTGAGTCAAATCAACCTACTGTTAGGACACGTGTGATCACAGTTGTGAAATATTCTGTTCATTTTTAGGTTATTTATTATTTATATACATATTTTGTTCCTCTACTGCAGGGGTTTTCAAAGTGTGGGAAGGTGAGCCTCCCCTCAGAGAACATAAGAACAGCTGCGCCCCCCCCTCCCAATTATTATTATTATTGTTGTTGTTGTTGCTATAATGCAGGGGTATTATTATCCAGTGGAAAGTCCTTACCTACTGGCCTAGTTAAATCAAAGCGGTTACTTTTTTTTGGCTGGGCAGTGTAGTTTTATACACCATTTTATTTGACTTTCTCAGGACTTAAAACTGTTTTTTGGGGGCAGACCCCCTCAAAGAAAAATATATATTTACACACGTAAGGTCATCATCTTAACAGTCTTTTATGCTCATCGAGTCATCCGTGAGCAGAGCATCAAGTTGGCATGCCTATAACAGCTGAATGCGGCGATTACATTCTTGCCTCAGACAGCCAAAAGTGTACAAGTGACGTTTTCTGCCAGACGCTGTCTCCTCTCTCACTTTAGGTAACTTCACAAAAAGTCGATCCATGCTGCAGCTCGCATAAAGTTAGCTGAAGTTAACTAGCTGAAATTCTCTTTATTTTTTTCTCACGCTGCGCCTTCCCTGAAGCTCTTTGGCATCCCCCCGGGGAAGCGCGCCTCACACTTTGAAAACCGCTGCTCTACTGTGAATGTTTACATGCTTTAAAGTTCAAAAAAGTACTTATTTAGCTCGTTAGCTTTCTGTCCCCTCAGAGAGCTGTCTGTCCCCTCAGAGTGAGCTGTCTGTCCCCTCAGAGACATGTCTGTCCCCTCAATGAGCTGTCTGTCCCCCTAGAGTGAGCTGTCTGTCCCCACAGTGAGCTGTCTGTCCGCTGTGATTGTTCAAGTTTAATTCAAGACGATAGAAGACAACAGAAATCACCAGGATGGCCGAGTGGTTAAGGCGTTGGACTTAAGATCCAATGGGCATCAGCCCTCGTGGGTTCGAACCCCACTCCTGGTAAATTTAAAGTATTATTGAAGTGATGCCGGAAATTAATTAGAACACATTTCATAATAGCAACATCAGAGGTATTAGATAAGCAAATTAGCTTAATTCCCTGGTGGTATTATTTCTACAGGAAAAGTCTGTCCTTTGATACTCTTGACAAGCCCACTGACATGAATTGAGACATTTAAACATTGGTTTAAAAACACCAGGATGTAATTAGGAGGGTTCAAATCACACTGCTGGTACAGTAATTACTTCTCGAGTGTAATCGCGAGGATCCTTGTGTGTTAGAACTCTAGTCCATTAAAGTGGTGATCTTAATGTATCATGAGCTACCAATGCGTACCAGGATGGCCGAGTGGTTAAGGCGTTGGACTTAAGATCCAATGGGCATCAGCCCTCGTGGGTTCGAACCCCACTCCTGGTAAATTAAGTATTAATTAAGCAGATTTCATAATGGCAACAACAGTTGGAGTTTAACTTAATTTCCTGGTGATCCGTAATAGGAAAAGTCTGTCCTTTGATACTCATGAAAAGCCAGATAACAACATAATTTCATCTACAAATGAATGATTTAAACCATGAGGACTTGTGAGTGGGTTCAAATCCCACTCCTGGTACAGTATGAATTTAAAAACCAAACAGTGGAAAGGATGTCAAACCTTTAATATTGGATATTTTAACAGAGCTAATAAAAGCTTTCTCAACGTTGGATTCTTTGAGAACTGAGGTTTGGAACTGGTTAGCATTGCATTGTTAGCAAAAGCTCAAGGCTGATTTGGGAAGTTTGTAGGTGTAATAGCAAAGCACAATACCTGTGTCTTAACAGATATTAATGAACATATTTTGGGAAACTGACCTGTCAATGATTCCACACATATCTATCTGCAGGTTGCTGTAGATTCCCAGCTGCTTTTTCTGCACCATGATCAGATCCACGATTTGGTCGTCCAAAGTTAAGAGACGCATGCATCCCTGGAAGATATTGAAGGGGTTTCTGCACTCCTGCCTATCATTTTCAGGAGGACAACCTAAAAAGAAAAAAAGAGCTCTTACAAAAGACAGTCATTCTCCAAACATAAACAATTCTGTCAAATAAAACATGTTTTCAGAGGTGACACAAAGATATATCAAAGTCAAAGTCAACTTTATTGTCAATCTTCCAGTTTGTGTGTGAAGACAGAGAGATCGAAATACCGTTTCCCACAATCCCGAATATAAAAAAAAATGTATATAAAAAATATATGACTTGATTACAATGTGACCTGTGAGTATAATTTGTATTTAGCTGTCAAAATCAAAAAACTGCATGATAGTTAAAAATGTAGTTCTCTGGGGAACACCTCTGTTAAAAAATCACAATTTACTTTTCTTAACTATTTTTTAACATCTTAAACTCCCAGAGAGCTGTTTGATGTTGGACATGTTGAAATTGCATCTTACCACCAAAGAAGAGGTGACTTTCTACAGTGACAGGAAATGAATGAGTGGCGTGAGCGCTGCCTCCTTCCTCTTTATCCACGATGATGCTCAGACGACCTCGCCTGGAGTTCAGATCCACCGAATGCCACTGACCGTCATTCAGAGCAGAACCTAGAAAACAAATACCAATTAACACACACCCTGCTAAAAATGTAACTTTTTCCCTTCATATAGTATGTACATGGTTCCATTTAGACCAGCGGTGTACAAACCTTTTATACCGAGGGCCACATACAGACAAATATACGAAGGGCTGGGCCGCTCACTAGAGGCGAGGTGTACTGAAGGGGGGCCTGGGTGTCTCGAAGGAGGTAACGGCCCCGGTGCCGCAGCAGCGTCCCCCGCACAGGCAGCCAAGGTCAAGTGCCTGCACCTTGTTCCGCCCCGAAAGACGACTGGAATGGCACGGAGTCCCTCCCGCCGCACCGGACCGAGATGGACTTCAACCTCGGTCTGAAGGCCGACGTCCAGGTATTCGACGTCCCGGCACGACCTCGAGTCACGTCCATGGAAATTTATATGAAGGTTGGCGATTGTACAAATTGAATAATAAACAAATAAGGTCGTGTAGCCGTCAATAAAATCTTGTTTTGTACATGGGAATATGATGCATTTATTCGCATACACTTTTCCTCGTCCCTCTTCTTTTTACAATAAAATGGACGGGGAAGAAGTTTTTTTCATTTTATTTTGTTATAAAGAAAGGTCAGTGTCAACGTGTTGTTCACCAGCAATTGAATGGACCAATGCTATATATCTGCTCAATTCGACATACAATGCGCTCTGTTCATTCGGTGACATAGTCTTACTGTTGACAAGTGTTGGAAAGGACCATACCGTAGTCTAAAAAGGTAGTGTTAACGTGTAGGCTTGTAACTGTCTAACAATGTTTAGACTACCCAAAGCTTCAACTTATTGTTTCCACGAAAAATTAAATATGTAGAGTGGTCTCGGGTGGTACCGTTTGTCGAAGATTATAAGTGGAGCAAATTCGTTGACGAGAACAACGGTAACAGATCACTTTACGTTGACCAGCAAAAAGACGAATTGGAGAGAGAATCAGAGTTTGGTTTTACGTAATTAGTCTAATTATTATGTCATATAGATGGTCTCACCCTAGCTTGGGTTGCTCCCGATAACGGGTAACCTAGAATATCAGGTTGCGGAATTGGTGAGCCGGTAGGACCACGAAATACTCCATTTAGATCACTTTAGTTGGGGAGACCTTAACTAACTTACACACCTTAATTAACCTATGTTGTCTTACTCTGAATCGTCTCCAATATCGTTTCGTTGTTAGTCAAGTTAAGTTTACTTAAGTTAATTTATATTTACGTCCTGCACTTTTCAGTTTTAGGTACGTACGTTTTCCGTTATATTGGCAAGGGGTTTATATAACCAATTTCAAACTTGTTTGTTCGTGTCATCAAGAGATTGTGTTAGAGAATTTCAACGTAAACCCAAGTTTCCCGCTAAACATAAACACTACAGACCCAAATAAGAAATAAGGTTAGGGAGCGTCGGCTAGGTGACATGCTACTGGACTCCCACAAGGACAACGTCTCATAACGGTCATTCTTTTCATCTCCTCTATTACTCTATAACTAATTAAGGGGAGTTGAGACTGTTGTCTCGCTAAGTGTCCTTCGTTGTCGGACGACCATGACAACCACCGTCTAGGCTAGTGTGCGTCCTATGTCCTTCGTCTATCTGGTAAAGGACGAACCGTGAGTTAGACGGGTGGGAGGGGTACCAAAAAAGTTATGTAAACCATGATTAGATCGTACGACGTTGTTAGACGGCGTCTCAGATTCCCACAGGTTTTGTACGGCCCCCGGTTTCGCCGGCGCACGGAAAACTTAGCCTGGGAGTCGTTTATTTTTTCATTATTACTCGTTATACCGGGGGTCTTTATTTTGACACGAACAGAATTAACATGAAGAATTTATATATACAAGCTTTATATAATTTGTCATCATAAGTACATAACTATCCTGTGAAAAGTTTAGTTAAGTAAATAATTTCGCTTTGTAAAAGATTGTATAGAAATCAACTATTCTTTTCCGGTTACTGAGTGTCATAAAAGTATTGTTCGAACTTATGTGGGAAAGAGATAAGGAGGGCATAATATTAGTTAAGACTCCGAAGGACAAAAATTCCTTACTCGTTGGCTGTGACGTTTCGTATTAACTTGATGTAAACTAACTAAATTGTAATATTGAC